ATTGCATCATTCGCTTTTTTTCTTTACCTTCGCCATTGGTCTAGATTTAATAACAAAACTTAGCTATTTATTCATTTGGAGAGAAAATCTGTTTTGTTGACTATTAATTTTTTATTTTTTCGAAAATACCACAATAATGTTCATGAAATTAACCATATAGAGATTTATTAACCATATAGAGATTTATTAACATTCAATTGGTTTTGTTTTTTTCTTTTATACATTACATCATTCACATTTTTTAACCTCTGCCATGGGTCTAAACTTAATAACAAAACTTAGCTATTTATTTATTTGGGGAGAAAATCCGTTTCTTTGGCTGTTTCTCTGTATTTCCGTTTATAAATTTGACCATTAATTTTTTATTTTTCGAAAACGACACAGTAACGTTCATGAAAGTAACCATATAGAGATTTATTAACACTCAACTGATTTGGTTTTACTGGAAAATATTTTTTTTTTTCTGTTTTCTTACTAATTACATTGCACCATTCACGTTTTGTACATGTTGAGATAACATGTTATATTGATAATATTGAGCGTTTTTTCAAACTAACAAATTTGGTAAGGTATTAAATAGCTCACGAGTGACGAAAATGCATGCATTGCTCAAATCTGTTATGGTAATTATTGTTTTACCATTTAAATAATACAAAACCCAAAATTAAAAGGGCAAATAAGGTATTTGACATATACTTCACTCACTATAAAAACAACTCGAGACTAATACTACTACTCACTCACCTTGTAGATTACAACCACAAAAACTCTATGTCTAAGCCAAGCTTGCCCGTATCGACGTCATCGTTTCAAGTTTCCAATGGTGATGATCAAAACGGAGAGAAGAAAGTTGGTTACTTGCACTATGAACTAGATCCTGGCTTCACCGTTCGACTACGTCAGGATATTGACCCTGCTATGGACCCTAAGAAACTCAAACGGTTTGGTGTTACATAATATTTCAATCTTAATTATCTTGTCAAATTCGATATAACTTTGATAATATTTTGAAACCATAAATTGAAATTCATCAGTCTCCATATGCAATTATGTATGTAGCATAATTTCGAACCGTGTTTCGGCTCAAAGGTCAAGGTGGAATAAGCGTCAATATGTTGAATACCTAGTGAAGAAAAAAAAGGAGCTCCAAGTATATATATAAATTTACTCTTAAGTATTAACATTTTTATTTCATACACATACTATATACTTCAATTCTTATTTTCTCTATATGAATATACATAATTTCATGATAAGTTATATATACAGATGGAGGTGAGTGTCAGGCGTGCCCGACTTGAAATGCTAAGGGAAATGAATGAATGTCTTAAATTTGAGTATAGGAAGCTCGAGGAGCGTGTCTTTGATACAAATCAACGTTTAATTTCCGCTCAAGGTACATATGTATAACAGTTAAC